ATTGAGTTAAAAATTGCAATTGCATTTGATACCATTCTTTGTTCATCCGGTTTTTAAAGTTCATATATATTTATTCATCAATTATTTAGTATGTTATAATTCAAAAAAATCATAAATCATATCTGACAGAATTTATCGAGGTTCTTTTTTAAATGACAGGGTTTTTTTTTATTTACTCATATTTACGTCCTTAGCAAATAGATCAATCTCACCGTTATTCACTAATACTTCTAGAGAAAGAAATAAATTCGTAGTGGTTAAGATACAATGTCTTTTATTTATGCTAACTGTTGGATTAGTGGATAGCTTACGTTTCTACCATTAATCTGTGTATTAGTTAAATTATAGCAATAATGTCAAGTAAAACAAAACGGCTCAAAAATATCACAATCGATCAATGTCAAGGAATCGTTTATTAAGCTGATGGATAAATTGAAATTTGTACAATTCGTTTTTTAAAAAGTCATAGATTTTTCCAAATTGGCTTCTATGTAACTTAGTCAATATAAAAAGGTCTGTCATTATTTCATTTTTAAAATTTATTAACTTTCCTTAGAAACAATGTCCATTCAAAAATATAATTAAAGTTTTTGATTTGTAGTAAATTGACTCTTTCCCTGGTAAATTGTTTTTGAAAAAAAAGGTTACATAAGGATTTAATCTTTCATATTTGAAAGTAATTGAAAAATAATTCTTATGATAACTAAATTGTTTCCAATGTTGCATAAAATAAAAGTTTTGTTAGGTCAATATACATTTAAGACATCTTGTTTCATCAAGGATTAACAAAATGGATGAAAAAACAATGATAGCATTGGAGAGCTGCTTATTCTTTGCTTAGACTTTTGAAGATGTGAGCAACACCGATCCAATTAGTGATTGAAGTTAAGATCAGAAGATCTCGTAATTAACAAGATAGCTAATTAATGTTGAATTAAGCATCATATATAAACCATAAATCTGACATGTATTTTCTAAATAATAATAAATTTTATTACATAACTTGATGAACAATATGTATTTTGTACCTTTGAAGTTTATAACTCAGTTCCTTCCAATTAAAGGACGTGTCTTTCAATAACTCTGAAGTGAGTTTGAGTCCTACTCCAAAACGGGTTAAGATTACAATGTTTCACATAATAAGCATTTCCAATGAATATTAATTTATTCCTTGAGTAGCTTATGATTTTCAGTGAAAAAGCGTCATGAAATACATTACTTATTTATAATAACCTCTTTAATTTAACTATGTTCATAACTTTCCTATGTTACAATATTCATGGAGAAAAGTGAAGCAAACGAATGAACAAATATTCTGATGAATTATTAGAACAAACTTTTGTGTTCTAAAGTTTATCTCATCAAAGGAAATTTTATCATCTTTGTTTCAGTTTGAGGAAATGAATCTTGAAAAAAATACATTCCAAATTCATTTTATACGATGCATGTAGAATTCATGAATTAATTTCTGTGAAGAAATATCGACATTTTCTTGCAAAGAATTTATGATAATTATGTAATATGATCGATAATAATTAAGGATTAACAAACGTACAGTGGTATACGTTGTTATATTTGAATTTTGCACGTCAGGTAAAAAATTGGTTACATAAGAAGTTGAAAAATTTAAAACTCAACACTAGTAATCTAGTTTGTGCTGCTGATGTCGATAGATATAAATAGTATGTATCACCAATCGAAAGTGGAATGCCTGGTGGCAGAAGGTTGCGAAAATAGAAGAGAAGAGGACGAGGACAAAGAGTGATTAGTGTAGAAACGAGGGGACAATAAAGTTCGAGATAATTGATGGATATTTTGTAAATGAGGTATTCACTGTATGGTTCTTAGATTTTACGAAGATATTCTGTAATGTCATACTTGAACACACTCAGTTATCCCCACCGGTGTTCTTATTTATTACAGTGGTATATTTGAAAAAGACAAATTAAATTAATGAATGGAAACTGTAGACTGGTATTAAATCTTAGGATTTAGAGAAAGATAAACACAGTATCAATCGATATCATTGTAACCACTATTTTTATGTTTGTTATATTCAGGTAAAATTATTGTAAATTAGTTACATTTGTTTATTGATTGAATAATAGATATTAAAAGAAATTTATAAAATAAAAAAATCAATCGATCAATAATTCAGCTGATCATTTAGGGAAATATTTCAAATCACGTGAATTCTTTTTATAAATATCAATTGAGTAAAAGTACTTTACCTAAAGTTACACAACTTAAATGCTTATTATCTAAAAGTCAATATTTAACTTTATTTTAATTATTTTTGTTTATAAAATATATAGATTTAAAGCAATTAGTCCCTTTGATAAATTTCGATAGTGTAATAAAAAGACGAAGATTATCGGAACTATGACTAATTTCAATCCATGTTTGCTCTTTTGATCATTTTCATAAATTCAAACGGTCGGACATCTTTGATGTTTAACTAAGAGATAATATACATGTTTTAATGAAGGAATGAATTTTATTGTAAACACGTCGAAATAATCAAAGCTATATGTGTCTTCACTTCATCATTATAATTCTTGATAAAGTTAGTTAACTTAAGTCAACAGTTGGTAACATATTCAGAAGCTATTGAAATGAAATATCTGCATGAAATTTCTTAAACTGATTATTTGTTCCTTCACATCTTAATTTAGCGATGTTTATACTATACTGATAAATATGTAGATCACTCACGTAAATGATCTATGTTGAATGATTAGGGACCTAATCAAGTTAGACAGTAATGGTGTAACCGAAATCTAACTTCGACGTCACACTTTGCGGTCAACACCTAACGTAGATCACCCCTTCAACTTATCAAGGTACTATACCTGCTTTGAAGACCGTATAATACAAAGAGCGGTATTGCAGAGACATATTAGTTAGAGTAGGTACAAGCGGAAGTGTGACCACTATCACATGGGCCACTCCATGACATACAATTAACTGATGTACATTGTTTGTCCTTGACCTTGACGGGAATCAATGAATCTTTTGATATTTAGTGACCCGACTGCTAGATGGTTTGTCTAAGACTCAGTGACATTTCACTGGCCCTACAAATCTATGGTTTTTTAAGTGAAAGTATAATATAATAATACTGAATAAAAGTGCTAATTCGAGTCAATAGAGCAAATCAAACAGTTAATTTCTTTTTTCAATACACTACATCTCTTTCTGCAGTTTTTATTCAGAAAATGCTTTTTAATTTTTAAATTATTAGTTTAAAATTAAATCACTTGACTACTACGGTGAACCATAAATTAAACCCTTTTGTATATATATATATATATATATATATATATATATATATATATATGTAAAATATAAACAAAAACATTACATTAATTTCATTTAGTATTGTTTGTTTGAATCTTCCCATTGATGCTTAGGATTGCAACTGATCAGTCTCTTATTGGCCATATATGCATACTGTGTGTATTGCCTTGATATTGCCTTAATTCACAAGCATTATAAGGAAAGGTGGATAGTGGCTAGCAATGGAATCCAGGATGTGCGTTTCGTCCTATTTAGCACTCGTCAGCTGGATGTACCTGCATCTCAGGGTTGATGTTCATTCTGGGACTGGAACCTAGTACCTTTCGCTTCAAACGCCATCGCGTTATCCATTCGGCCACTGAGTCCTGATGGCCACTTGCTTGTGCGATAGAGTGAAGTTTAATTTCATTTAGTATTGTTTGTTTGAATCTTCCCATCGATAAGTTAGGACTGCAACTAGTCAGTCTCTAATTGGCATATAAGCATACTGTGTGTATTGCCTCGATATAGCCTTAATTCACAAGCATTGTAAGCAAAGATAAATAGTGGCTAGCATTACATTTATTAGTTTTAGAAATCATAAGAACACTAACGCAAATTACTGAGTAGCATTTAATATAGGTAACATAATTGTACATTTAATTAAATAAGAAATAAATGAACAACGAGAAATCGTTATCTTAATGATGCTAGAAGGAGTACTTTTGATTTTTAAAAAATCTCGTATATAATCCAAAATTAATGCTTTAATCAACTTTTTTACATCAGTGTCATTTATGTTTCCTTTTATCATTTATCATCTGTAGAATGATTAAATTTCGAAAAGCTTGAGTAGTTTTGAACCTATCCACTAATAAAAGAAATAGCTTATATGAGTTTGCAAAACAAGCAAAACAAGAAATGAAATAAGAACATGAAGACTTTATTCTCCCTCTATCTTTATGCATATCAACAAGAAATCATTTCAACATATTATGTCCAGACAAGTCGATAGATGATGATAATATGTAGTCAGTACATACAATAGACAAAACGTTTTTGGAAAGAATTTTAATGATTCTTGAAAAATAACTCATAAAATATAGAATATTATTGATGATTGAAGAAGGAAGAATGAATAAATTAAAATTAATATATGTCATCAAGTTTAATTTAATGCATAGGTACACAGATTATTTAACAATCAAAATGGTAGGTATTCAGTTAAAACTTATTTTAAGGATTGTTTAATGTATATTCTCCTCTTTTATTTCTATAACGAATTCGACATAAAAATCTGGATTGGTTGAATTTAGACATTAACGCCGTTGGATGCCGGCTCAGTGGTCTAGAGGCTAAGCGCTTGCTTGCAAGACTGATAGGTCTTTGGTTTGAATCGTGCGAGGCGAGATCGTAGATGAGCACTGCTGAGGAGTCGCACAATAGGACGAAACGGCCGTCCACTGCTTTCGGGTTTTTCATGGTGGTCTAGCTTCAATTGACTCATGATCTCAACTATATAAAATTACTAAAATCTCCACAAAACCCCCTTCTGACAATTATTTGTTAACTATAAACTATGAAATTCATTAGTATACATTCCGAAATATTTGTATATATTACTATAATATTTATCATTATTTACATATAATACAGCAATGTATATTTCATTATTTAAGCAAGAGCTTTCTTTTTATTCATTTAAATAATTTTATTAATAGAATTGATACAGTTATGACTGAATTAGGCTGGAAACGTACATTTGATCGACATGCAGATTATACATTACGTTGGACAGAGAATAGTATTCAAATTAATTATGGGATATTTAAAGAAGGTGAACAACTTGTGAGTTTTTGTGAGTACAATAAAAATTATTATCCAACATTTCAGTTATTGTTGTATGAATATATGTACATATATAATTATAAAAGGGATTATGTTATTAAACTAACCGTATATTATGAATTTGGTTCAATTGAAGACAGTATCTTCCTCCTTTTGTGAGAAATACACTTGTCTGTTTATATTACTTTACTTACTTGCACCTGTTATCCCTCGTGGAGGAGCATAAGTCACACACCAGTATTCTCCAGCCAACCCTGTCCTGAGCAATTCTTTCCAGTTCTTTCTAGTTGTTATTCATCCTTTTCATATCTGCTTGTATTTCCCGGCGTATTGTGTTCTTTGGCCTTCCTCTTTTTCGCTTCCCTTCCGGATTCCAAGTTAGGGTTTGCCTCGTGATGAGGTTTGGTGATTTCCTTAGTGTACGTCCGATCCACTTCCAACGTCTTTTCCTAATTTCCTCTTGTCTGTTTATATTGGAGATGACATAATCTATTTGATCCATAGGGATATAAGCTGCTATCGTGAACCAGCTTTGATAATGACCATTCGCACCAGTTGGCACTTATATTTTCACAGAGCAGAACTGATCATACTTTATAAACTGCCTTTGTTTTACAATATTAAGTAATAATTTTAGACAGCGAGGAATGAATTCAACCATTGAATTAACTGAAAAAATATTTAAACTTTGACACTCGGATAACGGAACGATGAGTTTAGGGTTTAGAAAAAAGGTTTCCCCTTCTTTTCCCCTTCTCTTCACTTACAAAGATGACTGAATTGTTATAAAATCTATCGATATTTCTATCGTGATTAACATAGTCGAATCCTGTCTATCACTCACTATGAAATCGTGAGTACGGCTACCACATTCATGGACACATCAACAATGCACGTTGTGATTTACAATGCCGAAACGGTTATACTTTATGAGTACATAGGTTTCTCTATGAGAGCCTCGTATCAGAATGTTCACTAAATACATTAATTAAATATAACTTAGCCAAAAGTTTTTCATGTGTTTAAAATATCTTTAGACTTAAATAAGTTTTTCAAGGAAAAGTCGAATCATTTTTTTATGATCGCTTCTATCTATAAAGTCATCAACTTGAGTCAATTGCATGTTCAGTGTTCAATATATTTTGAAATTAATAACATTTGCTATTAACTAGATGAAAATGAAACGATTTAATAAAAAACTACTCTTGTCATCTTGTCAAGGTGAACCATATACCGAATTGTGGATTGCTTACAAATAAACTTGGATTATTAATAAGTCTTCGTGATTATGAAAGACGTTATCAAAATAGGTTTGGACGATTACCTATTATGGTGATGGACGATTTCTTTCCAAAGACATTTATTGTTGATGATTTAAAGGAACGAGAAGCTTATTTTAAGTTACAAGAAAGTAAGAAAACAGTTATATTTACGTGTATGACTGTTTAATATTTTATAAAACTTATGTATTGAAGCTGAATGGTGCATTCGAGACTATGAAATAAACTTCTTAATGTAACTATGAAATGACTTTTAAAAATATCTAAACTTAGTACGACATATCTACCGTTGAAACTTACTTGATTCAAATTCTAAAACGAACTATTTGACTTAGAGATAGTTGGTTCAGATTCATTTACTGGAACATTTCGGATAGTAGAGTAGATTGATGTCTACCAAATGTAAAAGTAACCACCAATACAAAAAGCTTTATAAATTGTTATCTGTGAATGATTTTTCACTAACGTCCATCCTAAAGAGTAATTAATTAATTCTTGATGGAACATACTTAGCTTGTTATGTGAAATGCTTTTGATGACAGCAATATTTAGTAGTAAATTAAGAAAATCAAAATAATTAAAAAAAAACTTAGGTGCAATATCTGAGGCTGAGTATGAATCTATGAAGATTAACTATCAAGTCCAAGGTTAATCACGTTTCAACATTATAAAAATAGGTTTCATGTTTTTTATCTTTTAATTTATTTCAAAATCTTTGAAAAATCAACTTTAAACTGGTCATACTAATATCCATCATATATATCATCTTGAATTGTACATCTTTTTATATATCACACTTTCACCTTGATCAGTTAGAACATCAATAGACTTTTATTGAATTTCCGGCAACACATAAACATCTGTTCATGTATGTTTAGAGACTAATAGATTTACATTGTTGATATTCAAAGTATATAAAAGTGTAATCTGTGTCTGTTTACTAGTTAGTGTGTTCTATAAACAATAATTTGAATCATCTTCAAAAGCCTTAGATGAAACTTTATTGTAAATTCTGTTACTTGCTGACATCATCTTTTACGCATTTTATTATGTATAATTAATTATCTTTTAATTATAGGAACTATGTTTAGTGAAAACGATAACTTACAATTAGTATAGTATAAAGGTCCTGAGTTCGAGTCCTGTGTGCGGGGTATTGGATGAGAACTGCTGAGGGGTCGTATACCAGGACGAAATGCCGTCTAGTGCTTCCAGGTTCTTCATGGTGGTCTAGCTTCAATTGACTCATGAATTGAACAAATTAATTACTACAATCTGTTGAAACCGCCATTCTGATATAATTTATCAACATACTACTTCTTATAGATTTTAATGAGGATAATTATGATGAAAGATGATGATGAAGATATGATGAAGATAAATTAACTTTTATCTTTATCATTTTGAGTGCGATGATACAAATATTTACAAGTAAAGTTTCGGAAAACCTCATTTCCTTCTAAATGCAACTAATCAATAACAGTGAAATAGGAAAGTTTGAACATTACGTCATAAATTGTTTTGAATTAAGTATTGTTTATCATTTATGGAATTCATAACAAAAACGTAATTATCGAGGAAATTATCTATATGTTATTTTACAACTGAATTTGGATACAGAAATTTTAGCAGAAGTCTAACATGAATTATCCAGAAATATGATTTCAATTAAGATAACTTTAGGATAATCTAGACAGCTACAAAATAATATGCATTTAGAACTTAGGTTAGTTCAAAATGCAATAAAAACCTAAGAAAGATTGAATAGCAGTTCTCGAAGAACCTAGGTTCGATTCCTTGTGCAGTCGTCTAAATGAACCGTTGCAAAATCTTAAACAGATATTAAACTCCCCTTGATTCTCAGTTGTTCCTCAGCCGATTTAAGATTATCATAAAAAGTAACATTTAAATAAACTGTAGAATTGTCTTTATTTGTAAATGTTATTTTCTTTGAAGATGATGAAGCACCACATATGTGGATCTGTAAACCAATTGGTCAAAATCAAGGCAAAGGTATATTTTTAGTAAGAGATATTGAAGAGTTTAAGGTACATTTAAAAAATCGAGATGAAGAAGCACGTCATCAACCATCCGGACTTTTACCAAGAATAATTCAAAGGTAATTTTATTTTGCTTTCATAACTGATTAATTTAAACAACAATGTGAAGTAGTGGGTACTTTTTTTATTTATTAAGAAAATACAGATGTTAGAATAAATCATTTTATTTCATTATTTAATTTATTTAATCATAGAACCAATCTACTGATTTATGACTACTTATGTACTTTCTAAAGAATTAAATCCTGTTTAATGGAGTAAGAGTTGAAAGTAAATTTACTATCAAAATGTATAATCTATTGTAAATGTTGAAAAACAGCTTATCGGAATGTCGTACGTTGTCAATTTGTGTGGTGTTATTAACTTGGGAGAATGAATACATCATGCTACTTGAGTAATATATTGAGGTCAACATTTAGAGAAAGATATTGAGTTAGTTAATTAAATTATTGAGAAGTATGAGGTGAGTTATTAAAAATACTTACTTGATAGTCTGCGCTTGAACTATTTCAGAATTATGAGAAATAAACTACTGACAAACACTTGTGACATTCAAAAAAATTAACCCAAAAGGACTGCACTATCATGTACAATAATATAAGATAATTATATATAATATATTTCTGTAAGTCCCAATGTTTTGAAACAGAAATGTATTTTATTTCTTATTAACAAACAATTAAACCAAAAGAACAAGGGTATACTTATATTGAAAAGAGATAATTTAAGCTCTGTAAAGAGATAAATGTCTTAACCACTGATTATCAATCATAGGTTTTGTGATTAATTTAGTCTCAAAGATGTTTAGTTTTAGTTGAACTAACATAAGTAGCCGGAATGTCCAGCAAAACGAGTTCAGATAAAACGAAAATTGTTTATATTTTTGGATTTGGAGGTATAACTTTATAAAATTGAATTTAATATATACAGATATGTTTATTTGCTTAGTATGTTGCATCGATATGAATATGTAACTATTATCAGAACTGGTATGGTAGATGCTACTTACAAGATTGCTCGTAGTATTATGTGACAGAACGTGGCCTTGTAGCTGTCACTGTTGTCAGACGGAGGGAAGAGTTTCAGTATGTCAAAAGCACAGAGTAGGCAGAACACTTGAAGATCAGAAGAGAAGAGAGTTTGCATGATAGAGCACGATGCTGCATGCAAATTGATGATCGAAATCTATTTATACGTATTCTGTAAACACTGTTGTTTTCTCAATAAACACTGAGCCTTCTGCTCATTGCCTTTTTCTACACAAGTCTACGTTAGAGTTTATTCAGAAGCAGATCAATAATCATCTGGTGTCACTTTCATTTGGATCTATGAATTTACATGTGCCAGATGTGGTAAATATATATGAAAGACAAAGAGAACAGTTTCTACTAGGATTTGTAAGCATGTTTACAGGAACCTATCCCTAAAATGGAATACAATCTTCACAGGTGTGATTCCCAGGAATTATTTGGATAGTTGAAATGAAGAAAACATTATTAATGCCTTTGGAATAATTAACAAACAAACAGTACGAATTTTGTTCTATTTTGTTGAGGAATCTGTATCAGACGTTTCCGATTTGACGCATTTATGCAGAAGAAAAGTGTAATTAGTTTTCCTTCGCCATAGTAACCTAATGCTAATCGAATAATCATTATTAATTTCTAAACCTCTCTCTTTATTCGTTGCCTAATATTTTTTTGTTATATAGTCCTACTGATGTTCGCAAATTTCTTTGATTTCGATTCTTGACATGTTCAACGGTAGTGCATTTAATTATTGACTTCATTACTCTTACATAATCCTGTTTATCTTCATTATGGTTACTGGTAACTATAACACCTATTTTACTCTATATAACTGCTTTCCATTATATAAATACACATCTATCTTAACTATGTTTATTCATACACCTCGAGTCTTGTTCTTCTTCTTATTATTTCCGTTGTGTTTCGAACATTTATCTAAATATTATAAACAAGAGTATGTTAGACATTTGTTAATAGGTATATTAGTAATTGTAATTTTATGCTGTATACAGCTGACGAGAAGCCGTGGACTAGAATGAATTATTGTTATTCTGAAAATCTTGTTACTCTTGCCATCTTGATTTGATAACTATTGAAAACAGTTTGTCCAACTACTATGGAAATTGTCCAAGGAATTTCAAGTTTGAGATAATAATTATGGGTTATTTTATGTGCACTGTACGCTTCATGGTGCAAATAATAATAATTATTATTACCATAATGAAAGTCATAATACAAAGGCTGCCTCAGTGTGGAATTTGCTTCAATTGGCATAACAGAACCTGTCGTGATCAGCAACATTGTGCTATTTATGTGAACTAAAGTATTCCAGATATTTGTTGCTTAATTGGAAGTTTCTAAATCGATACTACCTTAGAGCTATTTGTATCTCAGTTTCCACAAAAAATGTATTGAGGGCTTACAAGTAATAAGTTTTAGCCACTTCGAGGTCTCTAATGATTGTCTAACTTGGATCCGTCGATGAACTCAATAAAACTTCGTATCCTATTTTTAATTAGTAGTATGACAATGCAATATGTTATTTTTGTAACGGCTTTGAATTATAATACGAAGATAATTTTTAATCAGCTTGAATGGTTTACAATTTTTTATTCAAATATTCTATTGAGTGTTAAGTGATTGTCTTTCTTTGCTTGATGATAATAGCAACAGAATAGGGCACAAAAAGATTTATGTACTGCTGAAAAATCTCAGTTATGCTTAAATCTATACTTATTATTGACATATATGTTGCGTTTTTATGGGCTACATAATTATTGAATCCTGGGAAGTAAGTTACAATACATAATATTATACTAAGTTCACACACTTGAAACAGTATAATACTGTAGTAACAAAAAAATCGATATTGAGAAAGATACTACTTATTTATTTATATGTTTATTTTAAAATATATTTCAGATACATCATCAATCCATTATTACTTGATGGTTGTAAATTTGATATTCGATGTTATGTTCTTATAGCCTGTACAATGCCTTATTTAGTATTTTATCATCCTGGATATATTCGACGTTCGGCTAAGCCGTATTCAAATCAAGATCAAAATCTTATAACACACTTGACTAATCAGGTAAGTTGACGAGAAGTAAATAATTTTTAGGTTGATAATTATTGATTTTAATATATCCAGAATTAAAACCTAACCGAATTCGTCGCTGCTGTAATCCAGGTATAAAGCGTTAGATTATTGTTCTCAATGAAATAAAACAATTATTCTGGATAGTGATATACTTTAACCTGTTGTATAAATTAAAATTTAATAAGAAATATAGAACTGAATTCAATAATGTACAATCCAATTGTTCAGTTTAGTAATGTTTTTCTTAGTAAATAAAAACTGCTGAAAAACTTTTAAAGCTCACAATCACTGTAAAACACTTTCTTCTTCATCAAAAACTTCTTAGTTGTCTAAATTAGAGTGAGTAGCCAAAAATTGTTAATCATTGATACTAAAACTTATAATCTAAATTCCTGACTTTATTCAATTTATGAGATAGTACGATAATCATCTAACACCATTAGTTTCGATACTCCACTTACTCCATGATAAACTCAAAAAAACAATAGTTTTTACTAGAAACTTAGTGTTAAAGGTTTATATGTGTCTATGGATGAAAGTTCAACATAATTATTAAACAACTGTTTGGTAAATCCTGATTATCAAAATACTCACTGGCTGATGTGACTTCTTATTGGAAACTAATATCTTTGTTTTGCATGTTAGTAGCTAACAGCATGTCAGTTGGATTATACTACTATCTTCTAAAGAAAATAAATGCTAAGTTATGTGTTTTTCATTTTCTTTTTTCTAATCAAACTATGATAAAATAACGATAATGTATAGAATGATAATATGATGTTGTTTCATTAACTGTTTTATACTCTTAATTTGCCAGTTTGTTCAAAAAAAGGATCCAGCCTATGCAGAAGTAAAAAATAACACAGTTTGGAGTTGGTCACAAGTTAATGACTATATTAATAAACATTACCGAGAAGAAAAGAAATTACCAGTTGATTGGACTAAAACAGTTCTTCAGGTATTCTTTTTCATGATTATTCATCTACTTTATTCAATTAAAGTAATGCATATCATATTCATAGACGAAATAAATATAATTAAATTTTGCAATCTATTTATAGCCTATAATAATGAGTAAGATATACGAAATTACAGTTTGTGTTTACGAAGCAATAAAGAATGACTAAGAACTATAATTCCTTGGAATAATTTGTTAGTTAAATGATGTCATTAATTCAGATATAGAAAAGATATATTTTACAGTAATAGCATGTACTCAAAACCAATTACTTATAAACTAAATACAAACTCTTTCGACCATCGAATCATAGAGTAGTACAGCTCCTTAACTCGGGCTGTAGTTAAAACCTCATCTGTTGATGCATTCAAAAGAAGTTTGTATCTATTTAAAGACTCTTATCATCAGGTAGGCCTTCTAGCCTCCTGTTTTTCTCAAATTGAACGTGAAATTAACATTTAGTGTTTGAAAACAAAACAAAATATTTTAATTATGTCAATAAACCACCTACAAAAGATAATCTGTTTCTCTTTTGCTTTACATTATTTTATTATTCTTAACCTAGTGGAGGATTCAGAGAATTATTCATCATGTATTTACTACAGTTAAAAATAGATTAGCTGCAAAAATTGGATTTTTCGAATTACTTGGGTTAGACTTTATGTTGGATGAAAATATGAAAGTAAGTTGTCAATATTGTTAGGAACTAGTGGAAAAATTTCCGATTCATATGCTGAACTCTTGTTTCTATCTTGTAAGTAATTTTTATCACAGACTAACAGTGTTTATAAAATCATTAGACATTAGAGATTTGTTTCCCCCCTTGTTTGTATTTATTATTAAATTTATGGGCTTTAGCTGGTTTATGAGCAGAAGCACTGACTTTATCTAGATTCGTAAGCTGATTGTGTTCGGGATAATGTCAAATGAAGAAAACCAGGGTAATTAGAAATATATATATCATACAGGCATAAGTGATAGTCATCTTAACCCAAAAGTCTGTTAGATAAAACTGCAAATTCTGAAATGAAGAGGATTAAGTTTTAGTCACAGAGAAAAAAGACAAATTAGGTGTCTTAAATGACGAGTTCTCAGCATAATAAAGCTGGCTCTTTGTGGCCGCTTTTGTTCCAAATAATTCAAATTCCAATACCACTGTTACTGTTGTATAGTTAAGAAGGCTCCTACCAGTTTGCTAGCTGAAACCAGCTGATGAATGGGAAAATGTAACTAAAAGTTTCTAGATAAAAATCTTTGATTCTCTCACGACTGGACATTATTTTGATTGTGATTGGTTGATGGTAGTCAATAAGAAACCCTTGACCCGAGTTAAGTGCCGGTCAGGATATTTCGGCAAGTTATGCCTGGGATATCAATGAAACTGATGAAGACCACTGGAATCAAACTATCATTACCCGTCTACACTAGTAAGCTATTCAGCCAGAGATTGGTTGTAATAGGACAAGTACGCAGTTTTTTACCGACTTCCTTCGAACCAGTAATCGCAAAATCACGTTGGATTTGATATTAAGACACCCAAACTAGTAACCACATTAAACCTTAATTGAAAGGATTCGGTCAACATTAATGAACAAGATAAAAATAACATTGAGTTCTGGTATCTGCTTGTCAACCCTCGTGGAGGAGTTAGACTGCTGACCAAGATTCTGCATTGAATTCCGTCCTGGTAAACCCCCTCCAGTTGTTTCCAGTTGCGTTCAACAAACATCTAGTTCGAGTAAATCACGCGCAATTCCTCGATATTTGTAATCGTTAATTCAAGTTTCAAGAATACAATTAACAATAAAGTGTAGGTCAAATAAGTGATTAACTTAGATGGTCATTCAGTTTATTACATGTAGTAGCACATTAAAGTATTGAGTAATAAGTGTAACCTTTATGATTAAAAATGTTTACTGGATTTTTATGTTATACCAATGTTATCCTGTTACTGAATAGTACTCATGAGTAATATTTAATCATTAACAGGTATGGCTACTTGAAGTTAATTCAAATCCAGCATTACAAACTCATTGCGATGTTTTAAAAGAAGTTGTACCAGTTGTAGTGAAGGATGCTTTACGTAAGTTGCATTACGAATGTCAGAAAAATTGAAATATTTAAAAAAATTCATGGTATTCTGTGTAAACGTTTTATCCAACATAAAGATAAATCAGAGGAATTTAATTTGATAAGATAAACATCAAAAGATATGATAATAATAGCCGGTTTCACTGATATTGAAATATATGAGGAATGATATTTGAGAAGTGCCAACTATCTAAAGTCAGCCTTTATCACACTAGATGGTATAATTGACGAAATTCTGGGAATGTGAATTACTTGACTTTAATATGGTGATTTAAATGTACTATGCCCTTGTCAAAGCTCGGAAGTTGTTCGTTTGATTTTATTTTATTTTATTCATGATCATCTAGTATTACGAAGACTAAAATTCAAACGAAATAGCAATTGACTCCTTTAAGTTTGCAACTGTTCTTCGACTCGCCTCATTTTCTAAACACTTTAATATAATAAATATCATATTTATTCTGATCACAGATCTTAAATTTTCACTTTACATATATACAGATTCAAGTGTTAACATTCTATATGATTCATATCAACAATAACAAGTTTATTCTATTTGGTTTGACATTCCTAAATTTACATGCATTAAACGATGTACTTTGCCTTTAACCTGACCATTTTTTCGGATTATTAATTCGGATATATAATTGTAGAACCTGAAGAGAATTTATCGAAAAGAATATTCTTCTTTCAAATATTAGTCTTTTATTATGATTAGGATCTTTAAACGATTAATAAATATCTGTTTGATTATGAACATATACTAAAAACATTTTATGTGATTTCCTGTTACCTTCACGCTGGAGGACCAGTCCACAGAGTGTCAGCCCTGACAAATGTATTCCATAGGATCAGGAGGACAGGTAAATGGACTACAGAATAATATATGTTCTCAACTAAACCACTTTTTCAACGGATATACTGTTATAAATAAGGGGACAACATTACCGAGTATGTCGGTAAAGTATAAGAACCAGACACTAAATACTTCATTTCAAACTTCTACCATTTGTCCTTCACATTTTGTATAATTATTTCAGTCCACAATTCCTTTGTATTTTCCCTTCTATTCTCTTCAGATTGATCTTCTTAGACTTCCGCTGCCCGGTTTTCCATTTCTAATTATTTTTAAATACTACGTATGTCGACAGATATAAGTAGCGTACATCACAATATAACTAAATCATTATAATTGTTGTTTTATAACAAGAACAGATGAACAAACCCTTGAAAATACAACCAAAAACATACAGTCAAAGACATTTGATGGTTGAATTAAGTATTTGACAATTAATCTAGCTAATTCATTTGAAAGACATCTACTGTTTTCAGGATATTTTACGTATGTGTTATTTAATTAATTGCTGGATCCATTTATAAAAGTAGTTCTTCAGCTTAGTGCTAACGAGTAAACGGTTTTATACTTCTATCTCAACTACTAAAATTTTTATACTGTTTCACCTGTGAAATAGACATAATCTAATCACAGGGTTATGAATGTGGTTGTCTTTAAGCATAGAGACTCAGTTATCTCATTCAGATTTATGAGAAAGGAGTGATGGAAGTTGTTGAAATTCGTTAAAACGATGAAGCGAAGTTAAATCACCACATAAAACTTTTGTACTGAATGAAGACTTGCTATGAAAAACCACTTTGATGTTTAATGCAAAATTACAGAGTGCCTTAGCGAAATTTGAAAACTTCACATTAAATACATTTGCAGATCTTCCTTCAGCTGTCCTTCACATGCTTCATGAGTCGTTCAATTCTGTTGTTACTACAGTTACTGTTTATTTACATCACTGTCCTTTTCAATCTTCTGCTGCCAGGCATTCCACTTCTGATTTGTTTTACATAGTAGTTATACCTGTCAACATAAGTAGAGTAAAACATACTTTGAAGCACCGGATGACCATACTGGAATTAAAAGGCTGTCCAGTACACCCAGCTTTTTAATGACGGTCTAAATTATATAGGTTTGTTATTTGAATAAATCACATTGATTTACCATACTTTATCATACGCCACATTGATTTTAGCCATTATTCATTATAATTACAGATTTAGGATCGTAAATAAAGCTAACATATTTTTGTTCTTTGATTTGAATAGTCTGACTGTAAATATGACGGATCAAACTATCAGAATTGTTCAAGGTTCATTCGAATTTGAAGTATTCGACAATGATGTCGACTTGAATAACGTTTTATGCTTCAATGTTAGTTTACATAGAATAACGCCAACAAAAATATTCATCCGAAAATACACATTTTATTCACATAAATTCATTCTTTGGAGACATGAGCAACAAAAACGTTTTGACACTGATGATCAAGTTGTCATCCATTCGTTAAGGATAAAATGACGAAGACATAAAAAACATATGGATAATATTCTCATCCTTATGAGTAATAGATACAGTTTAGATAATCACTACTTTAACTGAATCATATATAGGAAGTTGGTAGAGTTGTAGTGTAAGCATGTGAATAAAAGTAATAATAATTGTAATAAGAATACTAACAAAACATACGTGTGGCTGAAAAGCCTTTATTGTCTGTTGCATAACGAGTTACCTAATATATTTTTTGAATTAATACAGAAACAATATTGTTGAACAGACTTTGAATACCAAGGCAGATCAATAATTCATAAATAACGTGAAAAGACAATAGAAAAAACATGAAGTTAACACAGAACATGAATATATAAATAGTAATGATAATCAGGATCACAATACAAATGGATATTATGTTTACACTTGACTGTGTGACCTTGAAAGTAATACAGAATTGTTGTGACCTTATGGTAGGTGAAGGCCACTAAAAGATATGATGGACTGGACAAAAGATTTTTAAACGTATGAGGTTGGTTGTTGATACCTTTGCTATAATTAGTAAACGAAGATGCTTAAATGCTCCGGAAAATTATTATTTTTGGGGATTTATTCTGATTTATTTATAACCAAGTTTCTAATAGTGACTGAAACTATTCGCTGTAATAATAACGAATACATTATTACTTAACCTATTATGCAGAAATATATTTTACATTGTTTATTCTTTTGTAGATATCAGTATTGAATGTTTTGAAAAAAGTCGTCATCAGAAGTGTTTACTTCCACTACATGGTCTTGACAATTTATCCGCTTTCGTATTTTGTCAACGAAGTAATAGATATATGAGAACAAGTTTAGATGAAATGCCGATTGTGAATAAAATCAGTGGTGATTTAGGTGTACCGACCGGATGGAATTTATTATACAATGAATCACAAGCTGCATTTCGTGCACGTTGGCCAATACTGCAATCATGTAGTCTTCGTTGTTGGATTCCACCTAGATATAAACCACCTATTATTCATAATAATCCTAATTTACAACGGCCTGTTAATGATAACAATACTGAACAAAACAAGTCTAATAGTGTATCACTGCAAACATGCGGGTCAACAACTGCAACCAACGAAAATGTAAATATGTCAGGCCATACAACAGATGTAGTTAACTGTACTTCAAAAGAGCAAAACATTTCAAAAAATACTATATCTAATCAACTTTTCCATCCACGTTTATCCTTACCGGAATACCGTACCTTTGAATCCAGTTTAAGACGATATCCTGTTACATCTAATACAATGAATAACAAAATATTGCCACGAAGAAATACTTTGGCTAGACAATCATTACAGAATTCAAAACAAACTATTCATTTACAAGATATCATTGATAAGATTCCTCAACCAGAGTCATTTATTACTGTGAAACAACCTAAATATCAAAATAAGACAATCAATGCAAATACTAGTAATAGTAATAATACTAGTACTAATAATAATAACAATAATAATAGTAATAGTAGACGAATAATAACAGATGATGGAAATCAATCTACAAAACAACTGATATCTAATCTATACGATTGTCCAAAGAGTAAACATGATTTAGAAGTACTTAGTGAAGATGAAATTTTAACTGGTAAACGTAAAACTAAACCTAAATTAAATTTAATATCCATCAGTAGAGAACCTGTACAAATTAGTAGAGTACATTTAATAACAAATTCAGATATTGTTAAAGTATTTAATCATACTACTACTAATAATTTTAGAAAATCAAATCATAATAACAAAAATATAATTCCTCCAACTACACCGAAACATTTAAATATTAAATCAAAGAATCAATCCACAAGAATTGGTGGAACATCAGCTGATCATATATATAATAATATTGATAATATTCAAAATAAAAGTAAATTAATTGGTAGACCTTATGCTAGTTCAAATAAATTACATTTCATAGAATCTAATGATTTAATTACAGTTACTTATGAAACTAAAAATTTTATAAATAAATCACAAAATATCCATTATTCATTAGAAGACAGGGGAAGTTAAAACTCATTTATAACCAAAATTTAAAAAAGGATTGTATTTCATGTTGTTATTATCAAGATTATTATAATGTATTTTACAATTTGCTAGCTGTTTGTTTGTTTGTTTGATCAATGTACTATGAGAAACCTTTTTTTTCTTATTCATTTAGTATCGTTTTAATCAAATCAGTTTGCTTGTTTATTAATTTGTTATTTGTAAATATGTATAACTCTATGGATTAGTATACATGTGTATGAGGATGATGATGGTGGTGGTTGTGGTGGCGGCGGTGGTGGGAGGCAAGCATGAGTTTAGGCATTTATTACTTTATTTTGTACGTTAATTTGTCATTTCAGCAACAACAACAACAACAAGATTGTATTTACCCAACTATATATTTTCAGCTAATAGTTTGCACTATCTTAAATATGTACAATTGTTGAAAACTACATAGATTACAGTGAACAGTTGAATTTAGTTGTTTTTATTCATTTCTTGCTAAATTTAAGCTATATGAAGAGTTTTCCTTTATTTGAATAAGTATTGTCCATTCATATTATTTAATCCATACTGGTGATATTAGTGTTTATAGTTGTGTGTGTGTGTATGTTTACATTTACGTTGCATACTGGAGAGATTATATTCATCATTTGTTTATTCCAACTCTTGGACACGTGTATAATAAATGTGTCATGTGAATTCTTCTATCATTATTATTACTATCATTGTTATCGATAAATGTTTTTCCATAAGGACAACTAGAAATTTCATTGTTTATAATCGCATGTAGTTTTTTTTTGGGGGGGGGAAGGGGGTTCTTTCCTTTGTATTTCTGATTTTGTGAACTTTTGATGATTGTTTTCTGGAATATTTTTTGATTTATTAAGACTTCATAATTTCTTCTGTATTTAATTCATTTCGTTTACTCTTTTATTAAGTGAATAAGAAATTTATTGGGATTTTTGTCAATAGTTTAATCTTTATTAGTTAGAAGAGTAAAGAATATTTTTTTGATGTAATATGTAAGATTTGAGCATGGAAACTAATCTATTGTACTTAATAAAACTTTTCATTAAAACTATCGATTCCGTTAATTCTTTGTAAAGATTTACACTTTTCCAGTAGTCAATATTCATGGGTACATTTGATCAACCCTTGAAAAATACTGATAAACGTAATAGGTATTGAACAAGTTACTAATCGTTATTAATGCTAAGAACTGAAGTTTGATTATATTCTTTTGGCATATATGCACTCTGAGAGGCTTGCCTTCATAATGCTAATAGGTTACAAATATTTTTTCAGATCAATTATAGTTGAAAATGTGAAATATTAGAGTCAGAACAAGTTGTCTAAGGGTTATCTAATCATCATAAAATGTATATTGGATTCGATCTAGTGTTGAATAGTGAATGTATACTACTGAAAAAGTTTTAAAACTGTAACATAAACATTTATCCAACCTTCCTTTTATTGATTTTTGGTAGTTTTTTAGGTGTTGTTAATTCCTGACGAAAAGTATTTCCAAACTTATTTCTTTTCTTTTTTAAGTAACATAACACACTCACGTTTACTTCTTGTCTGTCAAACTAATGATGTTATCAAATAGTTTTGCAAAATTAAGAGAAATCACTTTAAATGTTTCATATCACTTTGCCAAACGAATATTTTAGCCCTATTTTTGTTCATCAAAACATCTATTCAAAATACCATTCATCCATTTATTCACTTCACATTCTGATAATCTGTAAGTACGGCATTCATTTTATTTATTACGCCATGGTTGTTTTCACTGGAACATTTTTTTGCAGATTTGTAATAATAGTAGTATGCATGTATGATTCTATTTTCAAAAGTGATAAAAAACTTCTAGGGAAAAATATGATTATTTTCTTAAACGATCTTGTGACTGTCTAAATTAGTTTTCTACTACAACAACATTCTGTTTCTTCTTATCAGTAGGATAGGATGTGAAAAAAAGGATAGAATCTTAGGAATGCTCCACTTTAGCAAACAATGTCGTAAGAGATGATATATTTATAATTAAATCCTAACAATCTTTTTGATAGGTACAATGAAAGCACATACTTACGGATCAAGGAATTAGCTTCTATGGAAAAATATATACAATTACATTTAATTTCGAATTATGATTACTGACATTATTCTAGTATAGTAAAATCTGTGATTTAAGATGGAAATTGTGGACATTTCCAAAACTAAACAAATACTATTTCCTAGTGATTTTAGACTCATTAGCTGTACGATGATGTATTATAATGGTTTTGAAGTAAACTGATTTATACGAAACAAACGGTGTTAATCTTTCAGCTGTTTGGAGTGTTCTTTCAAGTTAATAGTTAAGATGAACAAGTCACTCTCCTTCAATAATTCTCTGAGAAAAAAAATAGAACAACAGTCTGTAGGGACGGTAAAAAAACAAATATCAATAGTGTTATAATGATTATACTCATTACATGCAGATTCTACAATCTAATAGATAATATAAGTGATTAGATGTGTTATCGTAAGGGATTTTCTGCGATACTACTACTAAAAAGTAACTTTCATCAATCAGAAGTTTTCTTGAATAAGCTCTAAAAGATTTAAACAAGAGACACACTCTTTCCAGCCATACTAAAGAACCCTCTGCCTTCATGTGTAAATTAAATTCAGTTGCTTTTAATGAAACCGACGTTCTGACCTAGTGGACAGATGTGAAGCCTGAAGATCAATAGAACTGGACGAAATGGTCTAGCTAGCCTTTAAAATAGGCTCTTGATAATATTTTGTCGATCATGATGATGATAATTTAACGTTTATTTCCTACAATATTTAAAAGAATTGTTAACAAGGAATTAACTAGATGGTTTTTTGAAAGCTTATATCATTTACAAGACAGTTTGATTTCACAAAATCCTCTCTACTACTAGTTAGCCGTGCAATATAGCTATTTTGACCAGAAACATCACATATTATTAACATTGACTTTAATTTAAATAACAACCGTCTTTATGCAGGTCTACTAACTCGGCTGTAATCGCGATTAAATCATTATGGGATTGAGCTCAGTATGTTTATATGACTGGTAGTATTTTTAGTTATGTTACTACAAAGTGAAAAGCTCAGAAATAAATATAAACTTTATACACAACTCTCCTGGTTTTTGAATATCATCAGGTTAGTTGCTTGTAAAGTACATTAAAATATGCTCAGTAAGGTTGATAACAGCTACAGTTAAAATTACTAGAATTTATTAGTTGAACGGTTCGATACTCAACACTACGACTACAGACTTCATAAGCTTTAATTTTGACTGACTATAACGATTTTTCTCAAAGAGATTACACTGAAAAGCAATAGATTAGATCACACTGTACTGGGAATTAGCTGCAGTAATTTTCTAATTATCTGTAATTTTACTTTTGTTAATGTTATTTTAAAAATGATATGACATATCTCATAGATACGTTTGCAAAGTTTTTTTATGTGTTCGTCATGCAAATGTTTAGGGTATTTGTTAAATCTAATCACCATTGTAAGTTATCTCATAATTGTTCTATGGTTTTGATTGTTATACAATTTATCATTGAAAATTAGTTAATTCTAAATCTTTTACTTTGTTTCATGAATAATGTACCCTAGAATTCACTTAGTATTGTTTGTTCAAATCTTCCCATTGATGCTTAGGACTGCAACTGGTCAGTCTCTTATTGGCCATATGTGCATACTGTGTGTATTGCCTTGATATTGCCTTAATTCACAAGCATTATAAAGAAAGATGGATAGTGGCTAGCAGTGGAATCCAGGATGCGCGTTTCTTCCTATTTGGGACTCGTCAGCTGGATGTACCTGCATCTCAGAGTTGATGTTCACCATAGTATTATATACCCAAAGAATTAAGTCAATTTTGTTGTGACCATTATAATTTTATTATTTGTTCATTCAATCACAAAAACTATGAGTTTAAGTAATAAAAGATATTTGTGACCATTTCTTTCACCTTTTCGTTTTAACTTCTTTTCCGATTACAGATTTCAAAACACAAGAAACTTCCTAACTAATCAGTTAGGTTAACTAATGTAAGAATAGATTTGATGGATCGATTGTAAGTAGCCTAGAGAAGAATACATAGCTAATTAAATAGTTATTTTACTACATAACATCATTCAGTTATAAAGAACAAAACTGATCTTCAATTTACACATAGATGAGTATACTGACTGACAGAAATTATTTTTCTATCAGCAAATTTATACTAACTAAGTTTACCCAGTGTCATCATCAATTCACAGAACTCAATTTAGATGAAACTATTCAAAATTTTCTATACTGAGTTTAACAGATATATTTGTTATAGTTTTACGTGTTATCCATATCAATCCATCCACGTTTTCATATTAATTTACTTGATTATATTAATTGCAAAGTGAACACTATATGTTACTTTATCCAAGTAGCTATTATAGGGCAGTTCAATGTATCCAATAGTTATCTGGACATGATGAATGTTTAGAGTTTTCATGTTTTGGGTGCCAATAACATTGGAGGTTGGGGCATAATAACGAATAATTACATTAGAATAATATGGAATGATAGTTCAGCTAACTCTTGATGAAATACTAAAAGCTATTTTTCCTAATAACCTATGTTTTATCGAATGCTTGAAAATAATACAAGTTTATTATAGGAACAGTGATCACTAGGGAGGGAATAAATTGATTTAATAATTTAGATAAAAATTAAAACCATATAAACTAGACTCTGTTGTGCTTGAAAGTGAGATAGTCTAGAGAAATATTGTATATCATATCGAAGACACTTGAAATTACAACATAACTTTGCCATTAAAGATAGATAATGGCTAGCAGTGGAATCCAGTTTGACGCGCGTTTCGTCCTATTTGGGACACGTCAGCTGGATGTACCTGTATCTCGGAGTTGATGTTCACTCTGGGACTCGAACTTTGCCACTTATTCATTTAATTAAAATTAATTAATTATAGAAAACAATGCATATAAACGGAAATTAGCCAAACACTAAAATTGATAAAATAAACTATTCGGTTTAGTTTTTATTCACATCTTTTATTCACATTCTTTTGATATTTCTAAACAGAACAAACCATTGAAATATTCATTGTTTAAATCAAACACCGATAATTTTTTGTCTCTACATATTTTGATAAACACTTATTCAAAAGTTGTTATTTGAACATATAACAAGATTAATCTATCTATTTGATAATCAGTAGACAGATAATTTTATGTCCAAAATGATTAAATCTTATTGGATAATATTTAATGATGCTTTATTTGTGTAAAGATTTGCTACTTAATATAAATAAGTAGTACACTCTATATTCATGTATATAAAGTTAGATATACACGTTACAACCTCATATATAAATGGGCTGATTCTATGAATTCGACTATCTATTGATTAATGTTAATGAAACCTTATTTATTTAATCTGACATTTAATTTTTATAGCCCTTAGTCAAAGGCATCCATGTAACAAATCTATAATACACTTTATGTGGAAATGTCATATATACAAAACTCGATAAAAAGAAAAACAATTTACTTGTTTAAATTCATTTTTGTTTTATGTAACAATAGACGATTCTTATAATATCTAGAGTTAAGTTATTTTTAAAAGAAAGAAAAATAATTGAAAACAAGTAATAAAAAAGATGAATACAAGTAGATTGATTGTTGACAGTAAATGATTAAACTAATAAAAATGATTTTATACTTTAATTAATATGATTACTTACCTACTTATGCTTGTTACCCCAATGGAGCATAGGCCACTGACCAGCATTCTCAAACACACTCTATTCTGGACCTTCCTTTCTAGTTCTATCCAATTCTTGTCCATTCTTTTCTTGTCTGACCCCATTTTTCAGAGTAATATGTTCTTTGCTACTTCTCTTCTCCTTTGGCCCTCAGGATTTCATGTAAGGGTTCGCCTTGTGACGCAGTTGGGCGCTCTCCTCAATATGTGTTCTATCCACTTCCACCGGTTCCCCGTGATTTCTTCCTCCCCTGAAATCTAGTTTGTTCCTTCCACAGTAGAATGTTATTGATAGTGACTGGTCAACGGATCCAAAGTCTCTTGCGTAGATAACTGTTAATAAACACTTTTATCTTCTGGATGATGGCTTTTGTAGTTCTCTAGGTTTCCGCCCCATATAGTAGAACTGTCTTGACATTTGTGTTGAAGAT